TTAGTCTCTAGCTAGCTATATATATAATTTTAGTTTCCTCTTTCATTCTTGGCAATTCGCCTTTGGTCACACAAGCACTTAAACCTTATCAAATTAGACTCCTCTAAAAACCTGCTTTTCTTTTCTATATCATCTTGATAATGTGGATTTTTATTTTCAAACAATTTATTCTTTTTACTGGAAAAGCTTGATGGTATAATTTCACGCGTTGCCCCATTTTGCTGTTTTCAAGACCTCTTTTTCCTTTTTCATTTTGGGGTTGAATTGAATCCCTTTGCCTTTCTTCCTGGCCCTTTATCTAATAAAGATGAAACCTAATATTTTCCCCTCTTTCTAAAGGTGGAGGCCTTAAAATGTAGTGGATTAAGCAAAAAACAAAAAAAAGAAAGCATTGCCCCTTAGCTTTATTCCCAGGTCCTGCCTTTGCCCCTTGCTTTTGGATGGCACTTGTTTTCTACTTTTGAAGCCTTTAATTTAATTAGACACTGGATAACTATTGTTTTAAAGAGACCATAAAAATGCAACTTTCCTTGAAAGTTTTTGAAAAAAAAAATATATATATATATATATATATCTATATGTTCTTCTTGGACTTGTTTCAATGTCTCTAAGGTTGACAGACTAAAATGGAATCAAGTCAATTCATCTTCTTGGTGCTTCCTAGGAGAAAATTCCAAACCACACTTTGCACCCTTGTCTCTTCTTCTATTCAAGACGCAACCATTTAATCATTTAGTAAGTTACTTTGGATTCTGTTCTGAGCTCCCAAATGGCAATATTGTAAAGTAAGTGGTGGGTTCACTCCCACAAAGAATAAAGCTGCACTGAGTCATTTTTTACTATAGGATTAGATCCAATGGCTTTCAAGCACATATACGTTGCTCCATTGCCATAAAGTCTCAGACATGTCAAATTTCTTTCTTCCAAGTATTCTCAATTGTGTGCTTTCAATTGTTTCCTTGTAATGGTTTTGGAATAGTTCCCAATGGCTATTAGTGTCTATTCTGTTGTCTTGCAGGAAGGTTAATGTGTTCTGTGGTCAATTCTTCTGAAACAGGAAAATTGCAGGATCAACAGACTACCAAAGCCATAGCCAAATTACCTGCATCAGAGTAGTCCCCATGAAGTTCCTCTTGACTGCATTGTTTGCTTTTCTTCTCAACATAGTCATTTTTCTTCCTTTAGCTATTGCAGGCCTAGAGTCTGATAAACAGGCCCTTCTTAAATTTGCTGCTTCTGTTCGACATGGTCGAAAACTTAACTGGAACACAAACAGTCCAGTTTGCACATCTTGGGTAGGTGTCACTTGCACTCAAGATGGTACACGTGTGGTAGCACTTCGGCTCCCTGGAGCTGGATTCATTGGTCAAATCCCCACCAACACCCTTGGTAAACTAGATGCCCTTAGGTCTCTCAGCCTTCGATCCAATCTCCTGAGTGGTTCTCTTCCTTCTGATATTACGTCCATCCCATCACTCAACAATCTCTACATCCAACACAATAACTTCTCTGGTGACCTTCCTGCCAACTTTTCCAATCAACTAAATGTATTGGATCTTTCATTCAATTCCTTCACAGGCAACGTTCCAGAAACAATACAAAATTTAACACTACTCACTGGATTGAGCCTTCAGGAAAACCATTTATCTGGATCAATACCTGATCTTAAACTTCCTGCACTAAGGCATTTGAATTTAAGCTACAATCAGCTTAATGGATCCATTCCAGGATCTCTTCAAAGATTTCCTAAAGCATCCTTTGTAGGGAACTTACATTTGTGTGGGCCACCTTTACATCCTTGCTCGCCTATCCTCCCCCCACCATCTCCATCTTCTTCTCCAATGCTCCCTCAGAAACAAAGCCCAAAAAAGAAATTTGGTTTAGGTGTCATCATTGCTGTTGCAGCTGGAGGGGCTGTGATGCTGTTTCTTTTAGCTTTGATTATCTTATGCTGCTGTTTGAAGAAAAAAGATGATGGAGGCACAGGGGTATCAAAAGGAAAGACTTCTGTTGGCGGCAGGAGCGAGAAGCCAAAAGAAGAGTTTGGCAGTGGGGTGCAAGAGCCTGATAAAAACAAGCTGGTTTTCTTTGAAGGCTGCTCTTACAATTTTGACCTTGAAGATTTATTGAGGGCTTCAGCTGAAGTGCTAGGAAAGGGCAGTTATGGCACGGCCTATAAGGCTGTATTGGAGGAGGCGACAACAGCAGTAGTCAAAAGGTTGAAAGAAGTAGTGGTGGGGAAGAAGGATTTTGAGCAGCAGATGGAGATGATTGGAAGAGTAGGGCAGCACCCAAATGTTGTGCCACTTCGGGCTTATTATTACTCTAAGGATGAGAAGCTCTTGGTTTATGACTATGTTCCAGGTGGCAGCTTATCCACACTCTTGCATGGTATGTTATCTCTTCTTCTCTCACTTTTCTTACCTCTTTTAATTTCTATTTTGAATTTGGATTTAAACGTTATGTGCTTAGTGTCTATAGGAAATCAACATGAGATCTATCACTTGTTTAGAAGACATGATCCTAGGAGATATTGTGGATTCTTTAGTAAAGACTCAAGTCTGGAAATTAATCACTTGTGAAATTGAACATGCTTTGCCCTCATCTACAGGACTATAACAGATATCATTTTTTCCATGAATCAGAATCAGAAGTGTTGTTCTTTTATTCCCTTTTTGAAATATTTGCGGCAGGGGATGGATCTTATGTTGTAAATGTTAATTACTTGCAGAAGAGAAAACTTTTTTAAGAAGAAAGAATCAGGATAGTATTCTTCTGTTTTCTTAGAAGATATTAAATATTTACCCTCAATATGCACAATTGAGTGGCATATCATTTAAGATTTTGCCATATTGGGGAACATAGAGTTAGCCCATTGACATTTTGCATATTGGTAAAGCATTCTCTTGTGCCCTATGCTCAGTTTGAGTTTGATGACAGGGAACAGAGCAGGAGGGAGAAGCTCACTTGACTGGAAGTCGAGAGTTAAAATCTCCCTTGGAGCTGCAAGAGGACTTGCTCACATCCATTCCATTGGTGGTCCTAAATTTACTCATGGAAATATAAAGTCCTCAAACATTCTCCTAAACCAAGATCTTGATGGTTGCATCACTGATTTGGGTTTGACACCTCTCATGAATGCCCCAGCTGCTCCATCTCGGAGTGTGGGCTATCGCTCTCCAGAGGTGATTGAATCCCGCAAGCACACTCATAAGTCAGATGTGTACAGTTTTGGTGTGCTCCTCCTGGAGATGTTGACTGGAAAAGCCCCACTCCAGTCAGCAGGACATGATGAGATGGTTGATCTCCCTAGGTGGGTTCAGTCTGTTGTCAGGGAAGAGTGGACAGCAGAGGTCTTTGATGTTGAGTTGATGAGGTTCCAAAACATTGAAGAAGAAATGGTGCAGATGTTGCAAATTGCCATGTCTTGTGTTGCTAAGGTTCCAGATATGCGACCAAGCATGGACCAAGTGGTTAGACTGATCGAAGATGTCAAGCAATCTGACACAGAGAACCAACCGTCTTCAGAAGAGAATAAATCAAAAGATTCAAATGTGCAGACTCCATGATTGATCAAAATTTACACCTTTTATGTTTGTTGAGCGGGATGGGAGTATACTTTTTGACAGTGTTGTTCATCCTCTCAAGTCTGAACCAAACATGCATGTGTTTTATTCTTAAATTTCCAAGCTTGTCATTCATGTGCCATTTTTATTTTTTCATAGGAATGCAGGGCCATGTATTTTGGTTTTCATTTTTTCTTGGATTTGTTGTAACATTCATTTCAGCAATTAATTTTACTTCAAGGAATGGTTTTTCCCATTTTGTATTTTATTTTATTTATTTATTTATTTATTGTCACAACACAAGCAGGTGTTTGATTTAGTTAAATTGAAATCTTAATTTAGAGAAATAACTAATTGACCGGCTTGTAGAAAACTATACCTAACACACCATTAATCTTTTCTAAGTTTATTAGTAAAGTTATTTGTATTTTGAATTATGAATGTAGAGTTTAATTTTTAATTTTTACATAATAAAAAAAATCTTTTTATCAACTTAATTGTTTTTTTATTTTATTTTATTTTAAATGAGAGCAAAAAGCACACTGGGAAACCAAAACCAAATGCATCTTTGACAGCTAAAATAAATT